CAACTTGAATTTAAGGCAATACTAATATCCGGTCGTTTCCAGGCTTTTTAGTAATTGGCCGGGTAAACTATTATTCGGTCGAACTCCGAGCTTCGCAGTACCTTATACTGTTGTCTGGTCGTATCCCAGGCTTCAGTATCCTTTTTCGCTATCTGGTCATAATCCAGGCTTCACGGTGTCCTATACCATTATCTGGTCGAGTCCAGGCTTCATGGCGTTTGGAGAAATCAAGATATTATCCGGTCGAATCTGGGCTTCATAACTTGCATTAAAGATATACCACTATCTGGTCGACTCCAGGCTTCGTAGTATTCTTGGCTGCTATCTGGTCGTAGTCCAGGCTTCACAACGTCTTATACCATTATCTGGTCGAGTCCAGGCTTCATGGTATCTTGTATTGCTATCTGGTTGATTTCCAGGCTTCACAATAACTTGCCAAGGGTTAAGCTGTTATCTGATCGGTTTCTTGGCTTCACATCTTGTGTTTATGACATACCACTATCTGGTCGATTCTAGGCTTCATGGTGTCTTGTACTGCTATCTGGTCGATTTCCAGGCTTCACAATAACTTGCATGGGATTCAACTATTTTCCAATCGATTTCCGGGCTTCATAGCTTGAGTTTAAGATAAACCACTATCTGGTCGATTCTAGGCATCGCGGTACTTTGGTACTGTTATCCGGTCGTTCTCCGGGCTTCACAATATGATGGAGAAATCAAGATATTATCCGGTCAGATCCGGGCTTCATAGCTTGAATTGGAATAGAAATCTTAGCATTAGTTTGACTGAACCAGAGAAACTTGTGAGAATTTAATTGTATCTTTCCCTGAAAGGTAAAGAGTTAGTCGTATGTAATGTCATGATGTATGACATGTATCGAGTAATGATGCTCTCAAAATAAATGAGATTGTGTTGTATGATGCGTATGCGTATGCCATGATGTATGGATATGCCATGTTCTCGTGATGTTTTCTAGCTGGGGAAAATAAATCTCGGATTGTTGCTGGAGAGTACAAGGAGTTGAGTTCCTCGTTCTCGCTGGGGGTAACGGCCGAAGATGATTTGAGAATGAACTGGCGAGAGAATGACTCTGTGGGGAAGAGAGATGCTCTGCTAGAAGATTTGCTGATTTGGAGAAATAACCTCGGTTGGGGATGAATTACCGTTGCTGGTGATAATGAACCCTGCCGGGAATTGAATTTCTGTCTGTGGAAGAAATAAACTCCACTGGGGACAATCTTTTATTTTTTTAGGACTCTAACCTCTATTTATTAAAAGATCCATCATACTTTTATCCTAACTCAATGATCTAAATAATACAGAGAAACATAAAACATACGACAAACTCTTTAGTAACATTGAGATCGCTGCTACCTCCGGTCCTCCTGTGTGGGGGATTATGCCCTCTTAAAAACCATAATTGAGAACTATTATGTATATAAGTGAGGATTTTGGTGAGTATCGAAGTGGTGGTGAAAATGAGAGGCGAGACATAGGTTAGTTTTACCAGGGTTCCATGGTGGGTGTCATTGTACTTGCTAAAAAAGTATAAATGCGTAACACTCTCATACTGGTAGGAATGACCAGAGGCTTTAATTATTTTTCGTTATTTAGGGTAAGCTTATGACAATGAGAGACCTTATTTTGAAGGTGTTTTTGGTGTGAAAAGAGCAAGCTCGTGTGAGATGAGAAGCTCTGCATCATTGGAGTGTTTCGTGGTGTATTTAGAATATCCTCTTAACCCTTAGGATGAGATATTTATAGAGACATTTGAGTTTGGATTTAGGTGCTTCTAAGAAGGGATAACTGGTCCACCTTTACTAGGGAAGTTGTTGACTAACTACTTCTTAAGAAATTTTGACTAGGACTTCTTGTACATGCAGTTATAGGCTATGTACACGTCACCTCCATGTTTCTCATTAGAGCGAGCCACCTGGAGAGTGAGGGTTATGCCTGGGCGACGTATTATGGGGTGGAACCTTTAAGACTTAGCCTTGTACCACCCTATTGTGTGCCCTTACAAACATATCACTACAAAATCAAATTCAGAACTTCATTATTGTAAATTTTTAGTCGTGTTTTCCACTTTGTCTAAAAATAAAAATAAAATATTTTTTCACTCTAGTTCTTAAGTGAAAATCCTCCTCGAAAATCAACAAATTGATACTTATACGTTACTTTTATAATTTGAATCAAATAAAAATAATATATACGAAAAACCACAACATTGATTAAACAAGAAAAATGAGAATACATATCTCATCTTAATGAGGAAGTGATTTGAAGATTTTGATCGACATGATTACTGAAAATTACAAATTTAATAATATTGTCTTATTTTGGTTTGCCGAATTCAAAAACTTCCAAATTTAAAATAACATGTCTAAATTAGTAACACTTGACACACGAGAAACACGACGCGTGAGAAACATAAACATTGATTAACTTACTGATTTTAGCATTTCACTAAATGATTCGAGTGACTTGTTTTGGAGACTTCCCTAATATAAACTATTTTATAATATTTTTGAATTTGGGCTTGAAGGTAACCATGATTAAGAACAATTACAGATAAGAGTGGGGATTTTGGTGAGTGACGAAGTGGTGGTAACAATGAGAGGTGTGGCACAAGTTAGTTTTATCACGGGCCCATGATGGACGTCATTGTACTTGCTAAAAAGTATAGATGTGTGACACCCTTATATTTATAAGGGGTGTCCATAGACTTTAAGGATTTTGATGTTTAGGGCAATCACACTATGGTGGAAGGCCCTATTTCAAAGGTGTTTTCGGTGTGGAGAGAGCAAGCTTTGTAATATTTGGATGTTTCGTGGTGTCTTTAGAATATTCTCTTAACCCTTAGGATGAGATATTTATAGAGACTTATGAGAATGAATTTTGGGACTTCTAAGAAGTGGTAACCACTCTGCTTTATTAGGGAAGTTGTTGACTGACCACTTCTTAGAAAATCATGACCAAAATTTCTTGCACGTGCAGTTATAGGCTATGTACAAGTCATCCCCCATATTTCTCATCAAGGCGAGCGACATGCAGAGTGAGAGTTATGCGTGGGCGACATATTCTAGAGTGTTAACCTTATGAGATTTGACCTGTACCGTTCTATTGTGGACCCTTACAAATATATCACTACAAAATCAAATTCAAAATTTCATTGTTATAAATTTTTAGTCGTGTTTTCCACTTCGTCTAAAAATAAACAAGTAAAAAAAGTTCACTCTAATTCTTAAATGAAAATCCTTTTCACAAAATCAACAAATTAATACTTACACATTATTTATAAAATTATAATTTGAATTAAATAAAAATAACATATACGAAAGACCACAATATTGATTAAACAAGAAAAATGAGAATACATATCTCATCTTAAAGAGAAAGTGACTTGAAATTTTTTATCGACATGATTACTGAAAATTACAAATTTAATAATAGTCTTATGTTGGTTTGCCAAATTTAAAAACTTCTAAATTTAAGATGACATGTTTAAATTAATAACACTTGACGCGCGAGAAACACAACACGCGAGAAACACTACGCGCGCGAGAAACATAAACATTAATTAACTTACTAATTTTAGCATTTCACTAAATAATTCAATTGACTTGTTTTAGAGAATTCCCTAATATAAATAATTTTATGATATTTTTGAAATTTGTATTCATAAAAATATCCATTGAGTTTTTTATTTTTCTTTTATTTTAGGACTCTATCCTATAGTATCATTTTTTTTAAATAACTATTTTTTAAATTTTTTTTCTTCAAATAACAATTTTTTCAAAAAAATTACCAAAGTAACCACTTAAAAAAAATCGTCACATAGAGGTCAAACCACTCTGTGTGGCGCATGCATATAAATTAGAGAGGAGACAGAACACTGCATGGCTTATCCTCATATGTAGTGTCATGCACTGTGACACATAGATGTAATTTTAAGGAGGAGGCGCCATATTAGATGACTTGACAGTTGTATTTGGTTTTCTATAAATGCAACCACCCATCTTCATAATTTTTCACACATTTCTCACATCATTCTTAGAAAACATCTTTCACTCCCTTGCCAATATTTTCCACTCCATTGCCAAGTTTTTCACTGATCAAAAGAGATGCTCATGTTATTTTTTTGGCGACAAAGCCTCCGATGAAGATCAAACTTTGGAACACGTAGACTTTCGTGCATTTTCAGAGGCACTTGATTCACTGGTTGAAAGGAGATATTCCTGAAGATGAATAAATCAAAAAAATAAAAAGACAAATTATAATGAGGAAAAAAAAAAGTAAGTCGTTTATGAAAAAAAGTGAGATGATGTCGTGATGATGATGCTTGGACCAGATGTTGCGTCTAGTGTTTACATGCATGCATCACACATAGTGGTTTGACCTCTGTGTGACAAATTCTTTTATTTAAAAAATAATTACTTTAATAATTTTTTGAAAAAATAATTATTTAATATATATTTTTAAAAAAAAAAAATTCTATAGTATTTGCATAAAAGATAATGTCATACTTTTATCCTAACTAAATGATCAACGCAATAGAGAAACAGAAGACAAACGGTAGATTCTTCAATAACGTGTCCAAAACTTCCACATTTCATCTCACCACCATGTAAGCTTAACATCTCCCTTGTCAATACAATCAGGGCAGAAAAGTAATCTCACAATCATCCACGTTGGCTGTTCAATCTAACCACATTTCACCTATAAATATCAAATCACTGTATCAAATTTTAAAAACCGCAGGCTCAGGAGAGAGAAATTCCCGAGAAACTGCAACAGAGAGAAAGAGAGAGCAACAAGAGACTTCAATTCAATACCGAGTGCGACTGTGTCAGTGACTCAGTGTCGTTGATCAAAACTTGAAAACCAAAAACAAAACTCGAAAAAATGGCTTACACAGTTTCAAAATAATTCTCATCGCCGCGTTTTTCTCTTCTTCCCCTTTCTTACGTCTTTTCGTTTATAAACTACCGTGTACGACATGAATCGGTTAGGGTTCAAAATCGAAGTGTTCGAAGGCGACGCGCGTTTAGGCGAACTCGATGTTACTCCGGTGACCGCTTTTCAGAATTTCCGATTCCCGAACAACGAGATTCGCATCCACCATAGAACCTTCAGAAGCGAGCGTTGTCCTCCGCTCTCGATTCTTCAAGCGGTTTCCGCGTTCAATGTTCGATGTAAACTTGATTCATCGCTTTCCATCGAACAACCGGCGTTAATCAACCTCCACGCTTCGTGTTTCCATGAAATGAAGGTGAAGAAATAAGCTGAAAAATCTGATTATTGATTATTATCATTATTTTTAGCTGAATTGTTCTGATTTTGAAAATTTGTTTTTAAACGGTGTGTTTTAGACTGCGGTGGCTGTGGTTGGGGACGAAGAGCTTCATCTAGTGGCGATGCCGAGTAAGAGGAAGAAGTTTCCGTGTTTTTGGTGTTATGCTGTTCCTGTGAGACTGTACGATGCGTGCATGGGGATGTTGAATTTGAGGTGTCTTGCGATTGTGTTTGATTTAGATGAGACTTTGATTGTTGCGAACACGATGAAGTCGTTTGAAGATAGGATTGACGCGTTGCGTAGTTGGCTTTCGAGGGAGAGTGATCCGGCAAGGGTGCAGGGTATGTCTGGTGAGCTCAAGCGTTACTTGGAGGATAGGTTGCTGTTGAAGCAGTTTATTGAGACTAATTCTGTAGTTGATAGTAATGGAAAGCTGTATCAGGTTCAGATGGAGGAAGTGTCTTCTTTGACTGAACAGAAAGTTCTCCGGCCTGTTGTTAGGTTGCAAGATAGGAATATTGTCCTTACTCGAATCAATCCCGAGGTTTATATTTCTAGTCTCTTAAAAGAAAATTGTTTGTAAGTCTTGTTTGATATAATTTGTGGTTAATGGTTTTGATTGATGGATGGAGCGTGAGTGGTGGTAATTGGAGATTGCTTGTTAAACTGTGAGTGGTGGTACTTCGTGTTAACGGTTTAAGATTAGGATTAGATAAATTTTTAAAACTTAGCATTGGTTCATCTGATATATTGTTAGGACTTAGGATATTGATACTATCACATCAACAATATTAATTTGAGAAAATGCAAGTAATTTAATGTAACCACACGTGTTGCTGTTGTATTGGTTTCAGACACTAGTGACGTCATTGATACGAAGTAAGTGTGAGTACTATATAGGTAATTTTTAAAGACAAGAAATGAAAGTCGAACTAGGTACTTGAGTCGAATTATCTAGAGTAATTTTTTCCCAAATAACCCCTTTCTTTCACGTTAATTCATACATACAGTTGGTTAAATTTTACCCAAATGGCCAGATTTCAAACATGAGACTGAGTCTCCAAAATACAAGGAAAAAACCCTGTTCTTTTAAGGCCCCTCTTGCACTTGTTTTAAGGTCACATGGGGCAGCATATGTTAAAATTCCACTATGCAATAGTGTTACAGCGCCACTATAACGGTTATTTATAATATTTAGTACTAAATAGCATATCGTAGAATAATAGTGGTATGTCCAAATTTTGCGATGCTTTAGCGGCTATTTAACAATATCGATAAGATCAATATCAATATAGTCCTCTATTCGGCATCTTGTATTTAGGATGGTTGGTCATTTAAGAGCTTTGATTTTTGTTTATTTACTATTGTAATATTTGCTTGTACGACCTTTTGACCTGTAGTAGCTTCACATGTGTTCAAAATTATTAATGCCATTGCTGAATGATAAAAAGGCTAATGTTAGTATTTATTTTGGAATGATAAATGTCAGTATGTTAGTATTAATGTTGTGGTGGGGATCTATGGCATCAAGTCTAAATGAATGTATATGCTAACAAATTTACTTGTGTGGTCATTTTTCAAATCATATCCATGTTATTTATTTTTCCAGTTGCTTAGCATAGTTCTTCCCCTCCCTCTCCCATCTTTTGAGAGTTAATAGAATAAAATGGTGAAACAGACAAATTTCTATGAATTTGTTTATATGCAATGTAGTTTGCATTTAATTGCTGAAGTTGTGTTTGGTATAATTCTGATATGCCTATGATTGATTCCCAATTATTGTTTCTTCACATAGATTCGTGATACTAGTGTACTAGTAAGGTTACGGCCTGCTTGGGAGGATTTACGATGCTATTTAACTGCAAGAGGACGCAAGCGTTTTGAAGTATATGTCTGTACTATGGCTGAAAGGGATTATGCCTTGGAAATGTGGAGGCTTCTCGACCCAGGGGCACATCTTATAGGTTCAAAGCAAGTCTTTGATCGGGTTATTTGTGTTAAATCAGGTACGACTCATTATTTCCTTAGTGTTGGTAACATTGATGTATTTTATATGATTCCGAGTCGAACTTGTATCGAAATCTTATTAACATTTTAAATACAATTTTTTCTATGGGGTATTGTTGGTTTTTGTAACAAATACAAGTTGTGTAAGTTTGTGGTCTAGCTACCATGTTTTATTATGCAATGTTGTTATTATTATAATGGTTTAGTTTATTCTTGCTGTTGTTGTTCGTGTCCTTATAGAGTAATTTGCAGGTTCCCGAAAATCTTTGCTAAATGTTTTTCACGATGGTATGTGCCATCCAAAAATGGCAATGGTGATTGATGACCGTTCAAAGGTTTGGGAAGACAAGGACCAGCCAAGGGTTCATGTGGTTCCTGCCTTTACTCCTTACTATGCTCCTCAAGCAGAGGTACGGGCTTACATATATTATTTGCAAAAAAGTATATCTTCTCTAATTATTATTGGTTGATAATTCATTATTATTTATTTATTTTCTTCCATTAGACAGCCAATGCTGTCCCAGTCCTATGTGTAGCGAGAAATGTTGCATGCAATGTCAGGGGTTGTTTTTTCAAGTAAGTTATGCAATAAAGTACTTTATTAGCTCAAATATTCTTCCATTTATGCCTTTAATTTATTGTCCCTGTGCTCAGGGAGTTTGATGAGAACTTTTTACAAAGAATCGCTGAAGTCTTCTTTGAGGACGAGGTTGGAAGTTTACCTCACCCTCCAGATGTGAGCAGCTACTTGATGTCTGAGGTATTGGATTGGAATAGATGTGATTCTGCATTCATTGATGATTATTAATTCATATGTGGTTATGTGTTACCATTTTGACAGTGTAGATGCTTGTTTATCTGCTGGTTTAATATTGGCTTATCTACTGGATGACAGGATGTGCCAAATGGTAATGGGCAAGCTAATGCTCCCATCAGTGAAGGAATGAGTGGCTCAGAGGTTGAGCGTAGGTTAAACCAACCTGTAAGTGCACGTCTGATTCAACGTTGACATTGGACATTTATGAGCAAATTATGTTTCCATGCAAAATGGAATTTGACTTTTGTTTGGTTTATTGTAGAGTTGGCTCCAAAGTTTGGTTGACATGGAAAGTTAGGCTTGTTAATTAGCATCGTCCAAACAAATTTCTTTTTTTACAAAAATATGTTTTTAAAAAGTACCCAGACATAAGTCACGGCATAGCAAAACCATTTTTTTTTGCAAAATTTGCTGTAATTAAGCTAAGTTTCCAACTTCAATTGAAAAACATGCTCCATGTTTCCATGTTTTTTGAAGTGTTACTTACAATCTCTGTTATAGCAACATTTTCTCAAACTTTCTAGTAAATTTTGTGGGGGTATTTCTTATGTTGTGTGTATGTGATGAGTGTTCAAGCCCATAGTACTTCATATGTGCGTGGAACATTTGTAGATAGCAAAATAGTCCTAGCATTTTTTATATGTTATTCTTTTCAGGATGATAAGCTTTCTGCTGATTTAGTCAGTCGGCCCATGGCAAATAGTGTTGAGTTCAGACATGAAACCTCTCAGTCAACGGCTGGCATAGTCCCAAATGTCACTGGTCCTGGATCATCAAGGCCCTTGATTGCTTCTCAGAGTATTGGACAATTTTTTATGTTGTTTGGGTTTCCATATTGCAGTTTTGAAAGTTTATGCTATCTTTTAATGTTCCCAACCTTGTTTCAGAACCGGGTCTGCTGGGACCTCCAGTCAAACATGACGGAAGTTTTATTGATCGTGATTATGACATGAAAAAAGGACTATTAAATATGAGGCATGGTTCTGATATAAGAGGTCAAAGTTCAGCTGAACCCCCTCTGATATCGAGGCCACCTGTTCCTGCATACGGAAGCTGGTTGGTAGAAGATGATATAAGCAACAGAACTCAGATAAATAATTGGCCTTTTGCATCCGTGAAAGAATCTAATGTGGTAAAGTCTGAAAAGCATCAGGCTCAACCAAAACAATTTTCTCATAAAATGGAAGCTCCAGTTTCCAATGTCCCACTCTCACAGACACCACAACTTAAGTCTGAAGAGGTTTGTAGATGAATGTTATGCGGCTTCCCATTTTTGGCAATCCAAGTGTTGTTTTGAGTCCTGAACTTTCTTGTTCTGAAAATGTTTTTATATATGCAGGCAATTTCTGTATCTGATTTTCGGAGGCAGAATATTCCAACTAAATCTCATCTATCAGGTATAACTTAATACTTATTTTCAACATATATGCTAAGTCTTTGAATCTTATCTAATATTGTTATTAACAATGACAAACTAAGTGAATGTTAATAGAGTAATGGGTCATGGGTGGTTTACTTTGGCTTTAAGATAGATTTTACATGATTATTTAATGGGTTCGGCCTAGGAATTATTGAAGTTTAGATGTATTTTTTAACAGATCAATTGCTAACTGTGAAGCACAGATTCCGACACGGTCACCGCGACACGACACGACACGGACACAGACACTCCGGCACCGATATGTCAAAAACTTAGGACACCGACACCGCTATATATGTTATAGTATTTGAGTTTCATTTATTCATCTAATATCAAAAGAGTTAAAAATATTCTAATCAAAATTAATGTCTTTAATTCTTGTTTGATAACATTGCTTCAATACATGTTTAACCCTTCTAATCATGCGTGATATTTGTCTAGAAAATGTTAAAGTGTGTTGAGGAAAAGAAAAACACAACTTTTTAAAGAAAACTTGTCTGAATTATCGGACACATGTTGTATGAGTGTCATATGGGTATTGGACACCGATTCAAAATGTGTCCAAGCATGAAAAAAGACCAATTTTTTGGGGAAACTTGTCTGACTTTTCCGACACTAGTTTGACTTTTCCGACATGTGTCGAACGAGTGTCATACAAGTGTTGGACACTGTGACACGCCTACTTCTAGAGGTGTCAGTGCTTCATAGATTGCTAAATGTGCAGCAGCATTTACTTTATTATTTTTCTGGTATTTTGCTTTATTTCACCTTTTGATCTTTCCACTAATCTTATCTCACCTTTTGTAATGTAAATGCCGCAGGAGAAACACCCTTTACTTTTTGTTTGCTTTGTTTTGACTATATTTTGTGCAGTCACCTGACCTGTATACACATTTTTTTAATGAGGTTGACTGGGTTAGAATAGAACAGAACATAAATAACTGAGGAGGCATGGATTTTGTTCATTTCTATGAGATATTCCCCCGCTCCCATTCTTAATTTCATGCAGTTTTAGAATTTTAAAGTTGTCTTACTGAATTTTTCAATCATTTCTCTATTTAGTTTGAAGAGCCGGAGAAGTGTAGATAGTTTTGTACAAGCTTGTTCTTAAAATTTTCATTTATTTTCATCTACCGTCTATAATTATCGAAGTTGCATGTTTCGTTATGGACAGAACATAAATAACCGAGGAGGCATGAATTTTATTCATTTATATGAGATCTTCCCCTGCTCCCATTCTTAATTAGGGGCGTGCAAAAAAACTGGATACTCTTAACCAAATTGGTATCCGAACTGTTCCACTTTTTAAAACCCAATCCAAATACTAAAATATAAAATTGGAGGTCCATTTTATCATCAAAATGGTAACTGGTACCCATAATAATAATATGGTTTAGTTATTGGGTATCCAAATTCTATGTATTAAATATATATCCTTCCCTCATTTTTCATGTCACTGTTACCCTTTAAATGGTAATTGTATTCACTCTGAAACCTCCATTGAATTTGAGAGATAACATCAGGTGTTTTTTTCTTAAAAAAATAATATTAAAACCAACTAAAAAATTAATGTTAAGTTGAGTAAATCATCAATGAAATTATTCCTTTCTGTTGAAGAATCAGTATCTGCATTGCTGGTATATATATAAAAGGGTTACACTTTTGAAGATACATCAACACAACATGAAATCATCAATGAAATTATTCCATTTTTTTAAAGAAGCCTGAACTGATTCTTTCATTCAGTAAATCATCAACTAAAAAAACAGTGAAGAAAAAAAATATGCATTTGATAATATGTTCTTATCATTCCAATTCAATTTCTACCACTCAAATGAAATTAATGTTAAGCCAAGTAAACATGTGTTTGATTATACTCCATAAAACTTATTTTAAGGGTTTGAATTTTAAAAATTGATATTAATTCAAAGTAATAAAATTGATTTAGATTTAATTAGATAATTTGGAAAACCGGTTTGAAACCGATTATGAATTTCAAACTGGTTTTTGTAACAACGGGTTTGGTTTATAAACCATAACCATAAAAATGGATTGGTTCACATTAATTGATTACCATGCACACCCCTATTCTTAATTTCAAGTAATTTTTTCCAATAATTTCTCTATCTGGTTTTGAAGAGCTGGAGAAGTTTAGATAGTTTTGTACAAGCTTGTTTTTAAAATTCTCATTAGCATTTTATTTTCATCTACTGTCTAGAATCATTGATGTTCTGTGTTTTGTAATGGACCAAATTTTTTGCAGAGAGTACAATATCTCTGAATCATGCATCTTCTAATAGCAAAGATTTTCAAAATGAAGTTGGAAAATTGAACTTTGTACCATCTCTGTCTATTGGAGTGCTGCAAGAAATTGGGAGGCGGTGTTGCTCTAAGGTATTCATGGCTTCTTCTCTCAAGTGAGCATTTATTTCCTCTATTTTTACTGAAGTGCATTTTTATGTATTCCTTTTATTAGGTTGAATTTAAGTCAATTGTAAGCACCAGCAAAGATTTGCAGTTTTCAGTGGAGGTAAGGAAAAGTTGTTCTTTTAAAGATTATTATATACGAGTTTTTACATGTTATTGTTAACTTTCTGGGATTATGTAGTATGTGTTGTGTTATATAAGATGCATTAGCTGATTGGTGATTTTTTAAACTGTTAGAAATTTGTGTTGTAATTTGTAGATTAATGATATCAAGGTCTGTTTTCTACTTGACTTTATCTCATATAATTTAGTTTAGATGCTTTCTTGGTTTTGTACTTAAAGAAACTAATCATGAACTGCTTGACTATTTATTGTTCAATGTCATTTCCCAGTTCTTCTATCATCTATCATCATCTTAAATGCTATTGGCTTTGCACTCAATTTCCTGTAAAGATGTTACTGTGGCCTAATAGTTTGTGCTGCCACTTTTGGTTGCCACTGCTCTTCATATTTGCATTTTCTGTGTTTAACCATTGTGGGCGAAGTTGTTGTCACATTTTACTCAGTCTGAAATAAACTTAGCTTTAGGTCTAGTCTTCCGTTTTATACTCATAACCTGTGCTGTAAATTGTCTGCCTTGTTTTAGGTACTATTCACTGGTGAGAAAATAGGCTTTGGTATGGGTAGGACAAGGAAGGATGCTCAACAACAAGCTGCCGAGAATGCCCTTCGCAGCTTAGCAGGTATGACAGTTTTTTAAGCTATCCTAAAATTGTGTTTGTGATACTCTTTTGTTGTATTGAAGATATAATTAATGGAACTTAGAATTATATTTATAATTCTGTCAAACAATTATGTATTTATTAACTGTTGCTGCATTTGGTGGTGTGGGACAAATGTGAATTGTGGTTATATTTATAAATCTGTCAAACAATTGTGATACTCTTTTGTTGTAATGAAGCTATCCTTGTCATTTATAATTTGTTCATGCATAGAGTTTTCTTTTTCATTTTTGGTGGGAGATAGCATTTCCATGGTGACAAGCATCTGAATATGCCCTTGCAGCACTTTGTATGCATGTAGATTAGTACCCTAGTTTCTGTGTTGGGAATCTATGAAGTTGTACCTGTCGAAGCATTTTAAGCTTAACAAATAAACATTTTATAGTGTGTTCGAATTGAAGAATAACTGTGGTTAACTGTATTTCAGTTTGTTATTTATTTATGCTCTAAATCTTTCTCCGTGAGTAAACCCAATGTTATTGTGTATGTGAAGGTTGGAATTATTAGTAGACATTTTCAGGAGGTAAATATTGTTTTTGTAATTTGTTGTGTGGGCTTGTGGAAACATTTCTTTACACGGTTCTGATGATTAGTGGATATGTGCATGTTGCTTGATGAAATTAGTTTGTTTTAATTCAATTTATTGTGCTACATTTTCTTTTTAGCTTGTTCTTTGCTGAACCTATATTAAACTGCTAAATGCATTTTTCGGTGTATGAAACTACAGAGAAGTATGTAACACATATGGAGCCTCAATGTAAAGCTGTTGATAAAGAATTTGATAAGCTTTCTCTTGAACATGAAAATGGTTTCTTGTGGGATGTGGTCGATGCGGAGTCCTGTGAACTGCAGACAGAAGATGGATTACCGAGAGAAAGTGCTTCTGAGGTGGGGATTTTTTTATGCTTTTTTGGTAGTTGATTTGTGTGACCTGTTTTGATTAAGGGAATCGGTGATGCTTGGATAAGGGGTAATGTGGACTAGATATTCCAGATCGTTTATGGAATTGTGTAGCATCAATGTGAAGACTAAATCACTGAATGAGGAGTGAACTCGCTTCACGTCTGCTATTGCTGTCTTAGACAGGCTTCTTAAATTCCTACTTAAAAGGTATGGGCTTGGTGTCAGTCCTGATAATTTACCCGTTATCCAAGTACTCCCTTGCAGTCGTTTCAGCCATAATGCTGTTGCATACTTAATCATTGTAACTTTCCAATTCATTTGAGAATACAAGAAGGAACCAAATTTTTTTAACGAGTTTATGCTCTGGGTTTAATTATTCTCATAACAGTGGTTTGAGGGAGGGGACTAGTCTTGGAATTTTTACAGAATCAAATAATTGGTACTGCAAGATTCACTTATATTGGTTGATTTTTGAATATTTCATTGTGGTTTTCCGTATAGAGGACTACTAGGGACATACTATGTAACACACATTCCAACACACTCTATTCCATTAGTTAAAAATCATATGGGTCCCACTGAATTTACATGGGACCAACATAATTTGGTAGGATCCGTATTATTTTCAATAAATAGAAGAAAGTGTATTGAGATGTGTGTTAGAGTGTGTTCCTAGTATTATTCTTGTTGTATATTCTATCTTCGGTAATAGGTTGATCTACCTTGTGACAATTCACTGATTTTCAGGCTCCAGATGCTGAGACCCGGCCATCAAATCCCAATCCCATCAATCAGCAATTGGAAAAACGTGCTAACTTCCCAAGGTAACATAAGCTATAACATTTATTTACGTTGTTTTGTTTAGGGGAAAAATGGGAGGGTATTTTTTTTTCTTGTATAGGGGAATTAAGGGAAGAGTACCATTGCTTTTAACTTAGGTTTTGATCTATCTAGGACTGACTTTTTGTCTGTATTTTTGGCCTCACCTTTTATCTCTCTACATTCATGGTTATTTTCTTCTTGCCATAGGTAGCATGCCTTTTAAATTTTATATTTCCTAAATCTTGATCTATATTTTTTTTCTACAATGGTTTGTTATGATCTGTCAGTCATAATTCTACTACAAGTTTGAGTCCTTGTCTCCATCCAAAAGGAAAACCATTGTTCAATTTTATCCTTTCTGTGCTTAGTTTTCTTAGTTTTAATTTCAGAACGCATCAGCCTGTTCATAGCAAACGATTGAAGGAATGAAATGGTAGCTAGATGAACAGAGCAACCATCATTGCAGCAACAGAAGAATGCGATAATCGTGAGACCACATTTTGGGGCAAAATGTTTTGATCTGTCCTTGGCTGATGTAAAACCTCTAGCCTAGTGGTTTTAGAAATGCTGAGGGGATTCCCCCCTGCTAATTTATCTTATATCATAGAGAAGGGCATTGTTTTTTGCCCGACCATTTTCCATGTTGTCAGGCTAGCCACATTTTCAATGTTGCCTGGCTAGCCACATTTTCGATGTTGTATTAGTTCGATTGAGTTACTTTTCTTCTTTGTAGTTTATCCACTACTGATCCGCTATGGTGGTTGAATTTGTTTTGCTTCTAGGACAAAACTCCATATTGTATTGTAGCTTGTGCAGTCACAGGTCATCCACTTTGAAACCAGCCAAACCAACATGTTATTTATCGGTTTCCTGAGTCAATTGTTAGTTAGGAATATACTCAACTTTAGGAAAATTTTCAATGGGGTTATTGTTGGCAAGAGAGTGCATGCAATGATGACGTTATTCATTTAGTTTTAAATGCATTCTTAATATTACAAACTTTATGTCATAATAGTCTCTGATGATGTTCTAATTTAAAAATGAGATTTAAAATATTACTATCAATGTAGGAGATAGGTTGATACAATCTCGCAATTTTAATAATCAAATTAAGTATATACTCTTATTAAAACCTTTGTATACCTCAACAGATGAAAAACATTAAGAAGACCCCGTTTTGCTAAGTTTTGAAAAATAACACTGTTGAAACATGAAATAGAAAGTGGAACGAGCATTCAAGAGATTTCATTTTGATTTTGAAAATTTTTGAAGAGCAAAATTGTTGAAACATAAATTAGAAAGTAGAACAAGAATTTAAGAGATTTCATGTTGAAAATATGTTTGCAGTTCATATGTGGGTGATAGCTTTCCATGGCCAAAGTAGTTTGCTTTTGGTAAGAATTTAACTCATCTCACAGGTGTAGGTTGAAATCTCATTATTGATTGTTTGTGGGTATTACGGAAGTACATCAGGTGTAAATGCTCTTGGAGTCTGATTTCACTTATTTTTTATTTATATATGAAAAACAACTACAACAGTGATATGTCATCATAGCATATATAGAACAACATTCACTCCAGGAAGTTTCAATCACACAAAAATAACTGAAACTCAGCTGGAACTTAGTCAAGCATTTCATGACCCTATTGAATTTCATTTTGTGAGACATTTATCAAATGATTGAAGCCGTGGTATCTTCATTTTGTGAGACATTTGTAAGATCTTTTAACTGATGTTACGTTTACCTCTCGGGTAGGGGGGTGTTGTCATAGCATTCTTACTCCAAAGAGCAGCATGGAGGATATCAACTCTAACCAAAACAATCCTCCAATTAAGTGAACTACATTAGCAATACTGATCATTGATGAAAAAGTTTGTTGAGAACTACATTAGCAATACCTTGTATGATTGAGATCCCTTGTTGACAACAATCTCTCGTAGCACTTAATTTAGGTCGTTGCTTATCCCTCCCTATGAGATTATCAGTCACTCTTATGAAACTTAAACATGCCCTTTGCGTACTCGGAGATTGAAATTTGGACGTACCTATTTAACAACAAAATGACTTCATTAGAGAGACACCCTCATTAGAGAATCATGTTGAAATGCACTTCTTTGGAGATAAGCCCTATGGGAGGGGCAAACTCTTAAACAAATTTTCTACAAGAGTGTTGACTTCAGTGGGGATTATGCATGGTTATGCTTTCAATGGAGATAAAGAATTCTGTCTAGGCGAGAGTACGCCTTCACTCGGGATACAAGATTCCATTATGAGCCAGAGTGAGCATTCACTGGGGAAATTGGATCCCATTCTACAGAAATCCTCATGTTGGTCGCATACAAACCCTTCTTGATTCATTTGCTGGTATGTTTCTTTTCATAAAAGACTAACAATACTTGTAAAAACAGAGATTGTGGCAATATGCCCCTGTTTGGAATGACAAATTTCACTGAAGAATAAACAATTTGAACTACCAACCACTGGGTAAGAATTGCAACGCAAGATTACAACTTCATCATGTTAACTTCGAGGAGGAATGCCACTGAAAAGTGGACTTTGGAAAGGATGCTGCAAATATAAATTACAGTCCATTGAGAAGAGATCATCTTGACTTCAAACAACTTCTAAATTTTCAGGGAGAAGAACGATTCTCCTCCTGCTGAGAAATGAGGAATACTTTGCTGGAGAATAAAGATCTCGGAAGAGAAACCCCTTAGCAGACAGACCTTTGTCAAGTAGCAATGGATCTTTTACGGAGGAAAAGAATCCTTTTAGGCAACAATATTTCCATCACGAACCTTGTATGGGTAACAACCTCACACACTTTCCGCTCTCTTGCCATATTTTACCGAGGATAACCATCCAAACTTCGATTAGAGATAATGGTCCTGACTTCTGACATGCTCCTCAAATACACAAATTGTTTAACCTGCGCATGGACTTGATCTGATCAACCCTTGAAGATGAGGAAATACCCCAACATAATTTCTTGCCCCAGTTGGTAGGGCTTTTAAAAACTTGCCTCGAGAGGACTTTGTGAAATCTGTACCATCAAGATGATTAGCCTCAATGCTATGAACTTTGGAACATTGCTCTTAACTAACTAAAGTTGGACATGGTTTCGATCATGCTTGAGCAAATGCCCATGCATATTCAGATTCTGAAAAGATTCTCCTCTGATCAATCATATTCTCAGAGAGATTTATCAAATCTCGACATAATTGTTCCTAATTGATTGCATTTCGAGGGATCAAATTCTGACCTGAATGCCTCAGATTGGCTGAACACTTATTCAACAGCGTATTCAACATGCTTGCCCCTGCTCATCAGTCTTGACAAATCTTTTCTTCATCTTATATCCACGGAGAGATGAGAAACTTAAGGATTTTTGAAGACAACACAACCTTAGGGTGGTTGGCTTACGTCTTGAAAGAAGGCGACTTCACAACTGTACTTCTCGATTTGAACTGCTTCGTTCTCCAATTAGATACTTGAAGAAATCGGCCCTCGGGATAACCTAAAAGTAATGCACCGTTGCTCGATAGAGGCTCTAGGCAATCAATTTTTGCAATCTGCTTCGAAAACTGGTCCTCTTTTACTCAACAGAGTCAATATAAGGTCTGCCCCAGATTAATGTCATCTTTAAAAATGATTTGCGCTTCAATAGTATTTCGAAGCAATTTGTCCCTTGGGATAACCAAACTTTCATCTGATGCTCATTATGCGAGCTTGCTTGATGTTTAAGCATTTATTCATATGCAAAGAATGTTTATTCTAAGAATTATAATCCTAATGCAAATCTCATGTTTGTCTTGAAGCTTAAAAACTTTTATCGAAAAGATTAAACATCAAAAAATTTCGTGAAAGAAATTAAAAGATGGTGTGATACCAACTCAAAAGTTTTATCAAACCCCATAGGAATCAGGTTACCGTACTCTCATTACAATGTGCTTTTGAATTAACCCATGCTTCAGTTAGGACTTTTCAGGATTGTAACGTGGCCTGATTCACGGTTTTAGAAAAAAAAAGATTTAAGGCTCAAAAATATTTGGTGCCCACCCATTCTCCATGATGTTCTTCAGTCCTACGTTCAGTTAAACCAATGCGAGTACTCATCTCTCAAGAGAAGTCTGGAAAAGTTGAGGAGTCAAACGAGGTTCTTTTTAGACATGGTAGTCACTCACCTTTTTCGTTCTTGGTGCTTCTGGTCACACGACTTTGTTCCTTTGAGGATTTTTATTTGGTAATCCTCTTTCGCTTTTCATGCTTTTTGCTTTTCCTAAATTTTTCTTGGATAAATTCTTTTTGAATTTGACTTTGAAGTCTAGCGGGATGCCCTGACTTTTTCCTAAGTGACTTGTTTTCCATGTTTCGACTTAACGGGGCTTTTTGTCTTTTTCATTCATCATTGTTTTTCCTTTTAAACACGTCGTGTGACTTTTGAGTCGTTTTCGTATTTGTTGGAAAGATTATGACTGCTGGAGTCCTTGGTAGATGAGGGATAACCATTATGGTATCATCATCTGATGATCTCCTTATGTGCGAGAGATACCCATTGTGATATCGTTCTCTTTGATGCGCACTGCTGATAAATGAGAGTTAACCATTGTGGTTTTGACTTTCCCCAGCCTTTTAATGTATAACCATTGTTGTATTCTTATATGCACACTCTTGATGAGTTTTGAACGCTTGATCAGATTAACTAAAATCTACCCTGCCCTGGGTTAAATGTGAGGGTTTTTTTTCTGACAAGAAAAGAAACTCCTACTTCAAGGCTCAAAGGGGTTGTTGAGGGTCTATCTCCCTTATATCTCAAGTGTTTGAGAATTTGAAACAATGCCTGAACATCATAAGCAGGGTTTTTATTCAAAAGCACACAGTTTGACATTTTTGGTATATTACTCATCATCCTCCCTCTAGAGGTATTTTGCTTTATTTATGAAGAGTTAAGTATCAACATAGCAAAAAAAAACATTAATGAGTGAATACGATACAAATGGATTAATTCAAGATAAACATATTCAATGCATTGTGATTAATATTCAAAAAGTAGCAAGTTTTGCATACAAGAAAGTACTGAACCAAATAAAGAAAGATTACAAATGAGAATTACAAATGAAACTAGAAATCTCCAGGTTGAGGAGACTAGTCTCCATATGGACTTGTTACTTCAGACGATGATATGACAGTCTTAATATCTACTGAGTCAACGAAGACTTCAAATCTGACTGGCTGGTCTGAAATTGATAGCCTTTACATCAAGCAGGTTTTATCCCTCTTCTTTGAAGGCCCTGCAGTCTTCAATGGAATGGCCTAGTGCCCCAGCGTGGTAGTCACATTGCACATTAGGATCGAAATCCATATGATAAGGAGGAATGACAGGCTTCAGTGGCTTGGGTTCCACCAAGGAAAGCTTGAGAAATTGAG